TTTTTTTTTTTTTTTTCTATTAGGTCTTTTTTATTATAGTTCTTATTATTTTTATAGATATTTAAAAATAACATATTTTGATACATCACATGTATCAAATGAAAGTAGAAGAAGATATATGGAGAAACAAATGCTTTTCTATAATGATTTAGGATACGACTTATCAATGAAATATATTGGTAATTATCGTAAAAAAAATTAAAGAAAAATTTATAATTAAAATTATTATTATTGAATTTATATTTATTATGAATTTTGTGATATATAAATATATGTCCTTTTTTTTTTTTCTTTTTTTAGGAAACTTATGTAAATATTATGATCCAGTTGCATTAAGATTACCTTTTCAACCATTGTAATATAAAAAAAAATGATTCATTTTCTTTTACAACTTATATATATATAAATTTTTCTTTTCTTCTTAAATTTATAGAGATGATAAATATAGGCTTTAATTTTTAAGAATTTGAAATGATAGATTATTTATTTTAAAAGATTTATATTTTCATTCTTGCTTTATTTTATTTTACTTTTTTTTTTTATGTTATTAACTTTTATTAAGAGAGCTAATTAAGGATATTTTTATGATAGAAAAAAAAAAAAAAAAAGATAATATATTTTATTTTTTTTAACATCACAAATACATATACATAAAACAAAAGTTGTTTATTCTTTAAAGAGGACATATTTTTTTTTTTTTTTTTTTTTTTTTTTTTTGTTTTGTTATGATGTAATAGAATATATTATACTACATTTTATGTTTTATAAATTATCTTTTATTTTAATTTTATCTGTTAACTTTAAATTAAAAAAAAAAACTACTGTAACTTAATGGTGTTTTAAATTTAAATAAAATACATATATAATTTAGCTTTCTATTTTTTTTTTTTTTTTTTTTTTTATAGAATAATTTAATATATTTTCTTTTTCTTTATGTTTAACAAAATTAAAATTATTATAAAAAGTTAAAGATGAAGAAATTTAAAATTCTTCAAAGTTTGCTTTTTTTTTTTTTTTTGAGTTTCCTCATTTGATTCTTTTTGTTATTCTTTGATTTTTTGTAAATTTAATTATTTTATTATATAGAATAAAATATATGAAAATATATATTTTTTTTTTTAAATTTAAATTGACGAGAAAATACTAAATTAAATTAAAAAAAGTAATTTTATGAGAAAAGCATGTAAAAGAAAATGACAAAAATTAAAGTAAATGAAAAGATAAAGAAAAAGAAAAAAACTAATAATTCTCTTAGTTTAAATTTAAACGATTTAGATGATAAAAAAGAAAAAAAAAGGAACAAGTTAAAGAATAAAAATATAATAAATTTAGAAAAGGAGAAAAATTGTGATAAAGAAGTATGTGAAGAAAATGATTATTCAAATAAGATTGCAAACTTAAATGATAAAACAGACGAAAAAATTACTTTAAAAAATACCGAGTCATATAATAACCTGCAAAATGACAATTTTACAAAAATAGAATTGCATGACGAAAAAGTATCACCTAAAAAAAAAAGAAAAAGAAATAATGAAAAAAATGAAGTAATAAAGGATTCAAAATGTAATTTAAAAAATAATGATAAGATAAACGAGGAAGAAATATCGAGTGATGATAAAAGTTCAAGTAGTGATGAAGATCATGATGGTTTATTATTAACATCAAAGTTTAAAAACAAATTTAGCAAGTTACTACTTAAATTGAAAAATAAGGATGAAAATTTACTGAATAAAAAAGAAGAGTTTTTTCATGATAGTGATTTTGATACAGATATATCAGATGATAAAGACAATAATATAAAAGAAGATGAAGAAAAATTAAATAAAAATATATGCATAAATAAGAATATAGAAGAAAATAATAAAAGTTGTAAAACAGATGAAAAATGTCTGAATTATTCAGAATATTTTAAAGATATCTTATTAAAAGAAGGTTCTAATGCATTTGATAAAGAGGAAGAAGAAATAATAGAAAGAAAAAAGAAAATATTATCACAAAAAAATAAAAAAAGCTACTTTGATGAACAGGAGGAATTAAAAAGAAAAATAATTGAAGCTTGTAAAGATGTTGATAATAATTGTGACAATGATAAGTCTAATGATGATAATGATAATTTTTTTATAATGAAGGAAAAGAGTGAAAAAGAATTACTAGAAGAAAAAAAATACTATGAAACTTTTCTTAAAACTTCTAATATTGTAAAAGATGAAAATAATTTATTAAAAGAATACTGGAAAGATAATTTAAATAAAGATGAAGAATTTTTAAGGGATTATATTTTAAAAGAAATGTGGAGAGAAGATAAAATTCATAATATTTATGAAGATATTGATGAGATTGATGATGAAGAATTAGAAAAAGCTGAAAATTTTGAAAGAACATATAATTTTCGTTATGAAGAACAAAATGGGAATATTGTAAATTCAAATCCTCGTAATATAGAATCAAGTGTTAGAATAGATTTGAAAAAGAAAAAAAAAAAAGAAAAAAGAAAAGAAAAAAGAAAGAAAAAAAGAGATAGAAAGAAAATACTCTTAGAAGAATTAAAAAAAGAAAAAAAAGAAAAAAATGAAAAAAGTGAAAAAAATGAAAAAAATGAAAAAAATAATTCATTTAATAGTAATAATAACAATTATGATAAAACTCAAATGATTAAAAACAAAAATAATTCGAAGGAAGAACTAGATGATCAATTAAAAAAAACGAATAAGTATGATAATAATATAATTTCAAATAAACATTCCAAAATAGATAAGAATTTAGATTTATATAATAATGAAAATGATTTATGGTTTTTATGTGATGAATGTAAAAATCCTATTTCTCCACTAAATTATGTTTATGAATGTAATACATGTGAAAATTTTTCTTTATGTAAAAAATGTTTTAAACAAATAAATCATGAACATAAATTAAAAAAAATGTTAGTTCCTAAAAATTGTAAACCACCAAAAGAATATTTAAATAATATAGGAATGAATAGCAACTATGAATTTAATAATAACAACAATTGTGAAACTATGGAATATTTAGAAAATGATTCAAGTGGTTATGAAGATTTAATTGACGATATGCCTATTAGATTTAAATATGTTAAAGTAAAACCCAATTCATTTAATCTTACTACAGATTTCATTTTGAATACGGATGATAAAACATTAAATAAGATGGTACCTTTAAAATATGTTTCTCCATACTATAAAAAAAATTTTATATCAAATGTGATTGAAAAAAAAGAGAAGTTAAATGAATAAAATACCTAATAATAAAATTAAAAAAAATTTTCATACAAATTTAAAAAGTTAAAACTAAAAAAGTATCAATACTAGAATGAATTTTAATATACATAAATATGAAGATAAAATACTTGTAAGAAATTAAAATATTATTTACTTCTAAAAATGGATAGATAAAAAAAATATACAAATATAATATAATGAATTTAAATACAGAAAAAAAAGAAAAAGAAAAAGAAAAAGAAAAAGAAAATAAATATAATATAAAAACTTTGAATTCAGATATATATATGTATATATATATGAATTTTTTTTTTTTTTTTTTTTTCATTATTAAACTAAAAAAAATTACAAAATAGTTCAATAAATAATATTATTTAAGAAAGGTTACTTTTTCATTATTAAAAAAAATTGTCTACAAGTGAAAAAATAAATCAAATAAAATTTTATTTAATTTTTTTTTATTTTAATATATTAATAATTTTAACAATGCATATAAAATTTTCCCAAAAATTCTTCACAATTTAATAAAAATTAAATAGATTCTAAGTTGGAACATAACTATATTTCAATTTTACTATGTCATTTTTTTTAATTCATTTATAATTCTTTTATTTTTATTTAATATTATTCCAACTTTTAATATATTTTGTTATTTCATTTTTTATTTTTATTTTATAAAATGTTATATTCCTTTTTTTTTTTTTTTTAGTAATTATCTTGATAAAGGATTACCTAGCATTTTAAAGTTCCCATTTAATAAATTACGACGACACTGTGCATAAGCTTTTCTTAAAATAATACAGTTTTCATCAATTTCATCTAAGTTGTGATTATGCAAGCAATCAATAAAAGATGAATTCTCCTTTTTATAACATATAGTATTTTGATAACACGCAATCATATCATTTAATATTTTTTTACATGAATTAGATGCCTTTCTGTGAGGTGTATCTGGTTTTACACTAAGCATATTTAAAAAAAAAATAAAAATAAAAATATTAGACCAGTAAAATATAAAAAAAAAAAAGATAATATTTATTGATGGAGTTTTATATTTGTTAAATATAAATACAATTTTTATTCCTCAAAATAATATATATAATGGTAAAATATAATATTAAAAATTTGAAAAATAATCAACTTTCATTATTTTTATTTATTTTTCTTTTTTATGTTTTTCTTTATTTAATTTGTATATTAAAAATTGTTGGGCTGTTTTACATATGATAAAAAAGGAACAATATCAATATGACTTGTTCTTATTTCTTTATTTTTTATTTATTTATTGTTTACTATTTTTGTGTTTTAATCTTTTCTTTTATTTTGAATTTTTTTTTTTTTTTTTTATAATAAAAAAAAAAAAATACTTTTATCATTATAAATGGTATTAAAAAAATATTTGAAGGACTCTTTATTTTTAAAACATTAAAGATAATGAATTATGTGATTTCAGTTTTACTTAAAAATAAGATCATTTTTTTTCATTTGGTATAAAAATAGTTTTACCTTTTTTTTTTAAATTTAGAGGCATAAATTGTATAATAATAATTAATAAAAACATAAAATAATAATTATTATTTAAAATAACATTTAAAAAAAAAAAAAAAAAAAAAAATAATATAATAAAATAAAATAAAATTTTAATTATTATTTATAACAAAATAAAAAAAAAAAAAAAAAAAAAATAGCTTATAACAATTATTTTTTTTTTTTTTTTTTTTTTTTTTTTACATTAGTCAAACAAAATTTTAGGTTCATCATTTCTTAAATTTGAAATATTTATATTATTATAATTAGATGATTTTATATATTGAGGAGAATTATTATTGCTAATATCTTGACCTTCTTTTGATGCTTTTAATCTTTCTTCAACTGTTGATTCTTTTGGTATATGAATACTTTCATTATTGCTTGTGTTGCTTTTTTCAATCATTAAGTTATTTGTATTATAACAAAATAGAGCTTTTAATATGTTGGTAATCCATATATCTCTATCTTCTTTTTTTTGTTCACAAAAAAGAATTTTTTCTTTATTTAATTTTATATTCCAACATTCTCTTGTTTCTTCAATAGTTTCAATTGGTAATTTAATAGATTTAAAAGGAATAGATTTTATTATTTTCAAATCATTTATGTCTTTAATTAAAATATTTGATGAAGTTATTTCTACATTATATTTATTTAAATTAAAAATGTCATTAGAATCTATTGATACATTAATTATGCCCTTTTCATTAATAGTGCACTCTTTTCCTCCTCTTACTAAATTAATATTACTATCCTGTCTTAATAATTCATCATTATTCAATTCATTTTCGATATCTTTGAAATCTAATTTGTTTTCATTATTATTATTATAATTTTCTAAATTATTATTATTTAGTTGTTTATTTGACATATGTCCTACTTCATTTTCATTATATGTTTGTTCATCTTCATAATCATCAAATTCATTTAAATCTTCTGAATAATTTTTGTTTAGTTTTTTATATTTTGGTTTTTCTTGTATAAAGTTTTGTGATCTTAAAAATTGTAAATAATTGTTTTTTTTTGAAAAGCTCCTATGGCTTCTACAAAGTGATATAAAAGAAACAATTATAATAATTGACAAAATTTTCATTGTGAGAAAAAAAAAAGTTGTATGAAAAAAAAAAAAAAAACAAAAAAAAAATAATAGTTATAAAAAAGATTTCTTAGAATAATATCTAATTTTAGTAAAATTTAGATTTATAATTTTAAAAAGTTCAATAAGTATAAAAAGAAATTTTCATTAACAATAAGGAATTTTAGGATAATAGGAAAATTAATAAGAAATGAAAATATGAGATATATAAAGTACTCTCTATATGATAATTAAACATATATATATATATATTTTTTTTAAATAAATTAAAACTTAATCAGAACAAATTTTAGTGCACTAATAAATTACTTTATATATATATATATGTATGTAATATATATACATATATATACTTTTATTTTTTTTTATGTATTCAATAAAGTTTAAAAATAGATAATTAACTAAAAGTACATTAGTTCTATTACTTTACAAAAAAAAAAAAGAAAATAATTAAATAGGTAGAAAGATATAGGACAATTGTGTATTTACATAAAAAAAAAAAAAAAAAAAAAAAAAAAAAAAAAAACAACATATATTAGAAGCAAAAATTTAAGGCACAAAATTAAGGAAAAAGTTAATTTTTCTAAATTTATTTTTTATTATTCTTATAAATAAAAGATTTTCTTATTATATTAATATAAATTTATTAAAATTAAATTTTTTTTTTTTTTAAATTAACTAAAGGTATTAATAGATTTAATGAAAAATATATTTATAAATAAATATATATATAGAGGGTTGCATATAACAAAATTGTCATGTGCATTGTATGAAGATAAAGAATGGAAAAAATATTAATAGGGGAAATATAAATATCTTTTTTTTTTTTTTTTATTTTCATTGGAAGAAAGTATTTTTATTATTTTTTTTTTTTTTTTTTTTTTTTT